CCCCTCTCCTCCCCTTCTCCTTCCCTCCCCTTCCTTCCTCCTCTCTCTCTGAGTTTATCTAACTCTCCAAGGCTCTCATAGAGTAAGTTTGGCAGGTATTTACCATGGTTATGCGCATTTCTTCATGGCTATTTCTTGAGGGCATTTTTACTTAGGAGTATGTGATCTGCCTTGTGGTCTTTCCCTTTCCTGTTTCATGCAAGTGATAGCAAGACTTATAGGTGTTTCAAGGAAAAAGGCTGACACAAGGAATTCTAGGATATTTGTGTTGGGTTTTGAAGGTTTATTTTTAAAATTTATATGTCCCAAGGGCTTCTGAGGACATTTGTGGAATTCCTGGAGATGAAAATAATCCCTGTATCAGGAAATGCCCAGCATGTTATATTCATAGCATGTCTACTGCGCAAGGGTCAGCTGAGAGATGCTTGCGCTCACATGTAATTCAAGCATCGGTAGAACCTGTGCCCAGCACCAGCTTTCCAGAGCCGGACATTTCTTACTACAGTGCCACTTCTTTGATCTGTGCTGATAGGGAAATTTCCAGTAATGTTTGTGATTTTTAACACGAGGTAAACAGAGGCCACAGAAAAATATATAGGGAGCAATGGGCAAAGCTGGACCTCTGAGGCATGCCGGTGAAGGAAGGAGAAGATTCCAAAACCAAGGCTCCCTTCTGTCTTCTTCTCCAGGAATATAGCTGCCTATATTGTCTTAAGACATCATATCAGTTATTCTAACATTTCCACTGATAGGAAATCATTTCTCCCAGAGAAAATGGGTGAGAATCCTAAAAGTAAATTCAACTCAATTTAACAAATAATAGAATGATTAGTAGTTACATAGCACTTTGTTGTTTATAAAATACTCTTATAAGCATATATTACATACACTGGATTCAGGCCATTGTGTTAGGTAAAGGATACAAACTTAATTAACAAATGGGAAAATTAACAACAGAGTCCCTGCCTTTCAGGGACTTTCAATCTAGAAAGGAAGTTAATCAGCCATATATATTATGGCACAGACTATGTTCTATGGCAAAAGCAAAAAAAAGTACAAAAGCAGGGGGAAAAAGGCTGTTATTAAAGGAATGGAGCCGAGACATGAGATGAAAAAGTGAAAGTGTATTCAGAAAACAGTAAGTCTAGAGCATGCTGGGAACTGGGGGTGATGGGGAGAGTGGAATAAAAAGTTTGAAATGTGGGCTCTAGCCAGGTTATGAAGAGCCTAAGTAGGCTGAGTGTATTCTTCAGTCAATGGAAGTCAATTAACCCTTTGCGGTCGTATTAAATTTGGACATGGGTGTCGTACTGGTCGGAATTAAGAGCTTTCAGAGAAATTATGAACTGATGCATGAACGAACAGAGTTAAGATTTGTACAGTTCCTTGCTGTGGTGGCTGAGAGCAGACATACGACCGGAATGGTAAAAAAGCTTTGGTGGCTGAGAGTAGACAAACGACCACAAAGGGTTAATTATTTTAGAGGTGACAAGCATTATGGTCAGATACAGCCTTTATCAAATTAATAAATGTTGGGTGTCAGAAGTTTGGGAGGCATGGCAAGAATTTGAGAGGCTATTTGAGGAGTCTAGAAATGTCAAAAAGGTCTAAACAACAGCGGTAGCAATTGGTACAGAGAGAAGAGAAGAGATGCATGGGAGCTATCAGGATAGAAATAATATTTAAAAGTGTTTGAATGTGGCAATGTGGTAGCAGAATAAGTTAAGATGTATCAGATTTTGAGGAATGTGTCTAGGGCAAAATATAATAGATAAAAACAAAGCAAAACATAAGAACATGAGAAGGTTCAGGAGATAAAAAAAATTAAAAATTTTGATGCCTTTTAATTACTTGGTATTATTCTAGTCTCATTATCTTATGTTTTATTTTATATTTGATCAAAACCCAATGTTTAAACTATATATATATGTATCTGTGTTTGTGTGTGTGTGTGGGGAGAGAGAGAGAGAGAGAGAGAGAGAGAGAGAGAGAGAAGAGAAAAAACAAACTGATCTGATCTAGTTCAATTTACATCTCCTCTGGGCAGAAAAGAAGAAATAATATTGCTAATCTTAAAAGAGTCTCATGTCAGGTAATTATGAAGTCATTCAAAGGTTAATTCCCTGTGAGGTTCTTCCTCTTTTCCTCCTTCCATCCCTTCCTTAGATGGCGAAGGAGAAGGGGACTTAAATTTATGCAGTGGCATCCTCTGGACCCACCCTGGTCTCTAGTGAAGTCTACAGCTGGAACACTTATGATCTCATTTCTGGGCTCGGTTAGAATCCAGAGGTCCTTCCTGGCTGGCTCAGCCCCTTTAAGGTTCCTCCTGTAGTAGCATAGAAAGGCAATGCCCCAGGGTGCAGGGCAAAGCAGTCAATGTTGAGACTAGACCAAAGTGAGGGCAGGGGCAATCAGAAACAGAGCCCAGGGCAAACAGCACTAGAATACATGTGGGGAAAGAGATGGTGAAAGCAACACATAGATTGGCACATAGCAGCAGAGAGGGGAAGCAGTGTCCTCAGTAGGGGCAATGGAACCAGCAATGACTTTACTTTGGTTAATAAGCCTGAAAATGCATGTTGATCAAGTGTTAAGTACTGTACTTGAACCAATAAATCTGAATCCTTCTGCACATGGAAAAAAAAAAGTCACCAAGATGGGTAAAGAGGAATGCCCTCAAGTTGCTAACTCATAAAAAAATATAAGACCATCGGCCGGTGTGGCTCAGAGGTTGAGTGTCCACCCAGGAACCAAGAGGTCACTGGTTCGATTCCCGGTCAGGGCACATGCCCAGGTTGTGGACCTGATGCCCAGTAGGGGGCATGCAGGAGGCAGCTGATTGATGATGTTTCTCTCCCATCAATGTTTCTATCTCTATCCCTCTCCCTTCCTCTCTCTCTAAAAATCAATAAAAACATTAAAAAAAAAAAAAGATCAAGACCCTTTGTTCAGCCTCTGATCAGTTTTCCTATTGGGTCTCACTGACTATAAGGAGATTTGAAGCTTCCCTACTTTTTCTAAAATTTCCCCAGGAAGATCCAATCAGGGTGTCTCAATGGGACAATGGACTAGGACCTCTGAACAACCATGAGACATCTGCCCTTTTTTCTTCATTGCTTTGACTCGTTCTTTTCAGTTAAACTTGCTAGATATCTCATGAAGGTCCCTCTGCCATCATTGAGGAATCTACTTTCCAACTCTGGGGTGCTCCCTGGAACAATGTTGTAGAGAAGTGAGGCTGCTCTGGTGAGAAGAAATCCACTGAGTTACTCTAATTCAGAGTCATTTCAAAGAAACCTGGACTTATGCTGCCCAGATATTCCAGAGCTTGGGCATGACATCTGCTTTCTCTATTTCTGCTTTCGGTCCCTCTCTCCTTTAGACTCTGATGCGGCTGGCCAGAGGTCCAGAGCTTTGAGTCCAGTATGGTGCCTCCCCTTGACATTCTGGCAATGTCCTTAGCCCAAATTCTTCTTTCTCTCATTTCAGTCAATCCCTT